AGAGAGAGAGAGAAAATGGGGAAATTGTCAGTGTCTCCCCTGTCTGTATTTCCTGGGCTTGGAGGCTCTGGCCCTCTGGGCAAAGGGTCCCCGACTTGAGCCCTGGGGTTTCTAGAACAGAACTCCAGATCCTTGACCTCTGCTTAGGGACTGTGCTGAGTGGTGTGACCTTTTAGAGATATGTAAACTGAGGACTAGGGACCCTCAGGGCTTGCTGGAGGTGACCACACAGGCCCCAGCATTTTGAGATTTATTTTCATGCTGCTCCCTCACCTCCTCAGCTTAGGGGAGTGGTTAGGAGGGGAGTGGCTCCCTGAGCTGCTCCCTGTTGGGCACTCTATTTTGTGGGGGGAGAACAGATTTCCTATAACCTTGAAGTTGAGAGAGTTCCTTCCTCATTGGAGTGAGTTCGAGCACATTAAGACTAAGTCATTTACCACGAGAGAGTCCCCAGGAGCCAGCACAAGTTGCAGTCCCCACTGCTTTGGCAGCATTGCCCAGCCCAGGGCTGGCACTTAGGCAGCCTATGGAAATGCTTGATAAAGGGATGCTTGAGCCCCACTTGTGCTCCTGTCTGTTTACTAAACCCTCACTGTGCTTTGGGTCATGTCTGGACACAGATGAATCAATCTACCACCCCCCCCCCCAAAAAAGCCCTCACAGTGCTTACCTCATTTCTAGGTAATGAGGTGTAGTGGAGACAGGCTGCCTGGACTTGAATCCCTGCCACTTACTAGCTGGGTGACCTTTAGCAAGTTTCTTGAACTCAGTCTTCTCCTGAGTAAAAGGGAGGTAAGGATGGTGGCTGTGATTGCATAGGTTCATGCAGGTATAGTCTAGGACAGCATCTGGTACATGCTAAACCCTCATTAGAGCCAGTAGTCACAGTTGTCCTCACTATAGGGAGGAGACAGAGAGCTGTATCACAGGATAGAAAAGTCAGAAAATGCTCACAGTGGCCCCAGGGAGCAGAGGAGGTGAGGGCCTTGGGGTGGGCATGGAGATCAGGGAGTGCTTACCAAATGAGCATTTGAGTCACAGCCATGGCCTGGCCAGGAGGCTGGGACACCCCATAGACTTCAAAAAGAGAGTGTGGCTTGGGAAGGGATGCAGAAGAGACTTGCCCTGTGTTGCCCGTAGCTCTGTTGCCTGCATGCGGACGTGCTGAGCTCCCTGGGCCCCAAGGAGGTCAAGAAGGCGTTCCTTGACTTCTGCCACAGCTTCCTGGATAAGACCGCGGTGAGAGACTTCACAAGTCCCCAGTAACCCACACTCTGCCTAGCCCTGAGAGCCACTGTGTGCCCCAGTGCCTGCCTGGCTGAGGGCAGCCTGTTCAGGGGCAGCTTCCAGTCCAGGCCTTCCCCATCAGGCCTCCTGGGCTGCAGTCCACCTCTCCTTGTCCTCCCTCACTTCAGTCTCTCTCCTGGGCAGGTTCTGCGGGTGTCCGTTCCTCCTAGTGTGGCCTTCGAACTTGGTAAGATGAAGAAGAGGGAACTAGGGTGGGGGAGAGGTCTTTCCCAGAAGGCACACAGTGGGGTGGGGAGAGCAGGGGAGGCCATATTCCCCTGCTCTTCGAGAGTAGCCAAGACTCATTCATTTCTTCAGCCCAGACCCATTCATTCCTTCTTGGCAGTAGCAGCCCAAGCAAGAGTGACCTTTGGAGTCCAAGGATGGGTGGGGACCTTGGTCTAAGTGACTGGGGAGCTGGTCCTCAGGCTGCGCATGTCCCTGCAGACCGCACACGTCCTGACCTCTTATCCGAGGATGTCCAGCGACGGTTTGTGCAGGAGGTCGTGCAGAGCCAGCAGGCAGTCGTGGGTCGGCAGCTAGAGGACTTCCGTTCCAAGCGGCTCATGGGCATGACACCCTGGGAGCAGGAGCTGGCCCAGCTGGAGGCCTGGGTTGGGCGAGACAGAGCCAGCTTCGAGGCCCGGGAGCGGCATGTAGCTGAGCGGCTGCTGACCCACCTGGAGGAGATGCAGTGAGTGGGCCAGCCCCTCCCCAGCCACTGGGGCACCCCGCTGCCTCCGGTACATTTCATCTCTGGTGTGTGGGCTCACTCTTCAGCTCAGGGTCCCTTTCTTAGCATTTAGGGTGACCCTTCTCCCAGGCCTGGCATCTAGGTCCTCCTACTGTTTCCAGGTCTTATCTGTGGTCTGGTGCTTGGTCCCATCCTCCCAGACCAGATATCCTCCTCCCACTTATAATGGTCCTTTCCAGTCACTTCTGGCTTCTACCATCTCCCCCTCTCTACCTCTTCTCTCCCTGCCCATCCTAGGGGAAGACAGCCTCCAGACTAGGTGGCAAGGGCCCCAGGCTTAGCAAGTTTGTCACGTACATCTTTCTTCTCCCTACAGACATACCATCTCTACCGATGAAGAAAAGAGGTGATGGAGAAGGGAGGATGGTGGGGAGAGGCATGTGAGCGCCTGTGTCTGAGGGAGGAGGGGCTGGGGGTCTGGACCCCTATATCTGAGGGAGGAGGAGCTAGAAGCCCTGGACCCTTGAGTCTGAGGGAAGACGGGGCTGGGGACCAGACTCCTGTGTCTGAGGAAGGAGGGGGCTGAGGACCAGACCCCTGACTCTGAGGGAGGGGGAACTGGGGACCAGACTCCTGTGTCTCAGGGAGGAGGAGCTAGGGACCCTGGACCTCTGGAGCTTAGGCATTGAGCAACGTCCTAAACCCTGTCTTTTTAATTTTTTTTTTTTTTAATGGAGACAGAGTCTTACTCAGTCGTCCTAGGGTTGAGTATCCTGGCATCATAGCTCCCAGCAGCCTCAACCTCTTGAGCTCAAGTGATTCTCTTGCCTCAGCCTCCCGAATAGCTGGGACTACAAGTGTCTGCCATAACACCCGGCTATTTTCTTTTTTAGAGACAGGGTCTCACTCTTGGTCAGGCTGATCTTAACCCTGTGAGCTCAAGCAATCCACTCAAGCAATCCCAGAGTGCTGGGATTACAGGCTTGAGCCACTGACCCTGTCTTTTTAAACCTTCTTTCCTCAGGGACTCACATGAAATAGTTGTGGGGTTAGCAAGTAAAAGCTGGGTCTCTGCCTCTAGGGACAGTATATGTGCGCATTTGTGTGTCTGATGGGCCCTCATGGACCCCTCCCCTCCCCACAGTGCTGCTGTGGTCAATGCCATCGGCCTGTACATGCGTCACCTTGGGGTGCGGACCAAGAGTGGGGACAAGAAGTCGGGGAGGAACTTCTTCCGGAAAAAGGTGCTTCCCTCAGTGCCTGGTCCTTTCCTCTGCAGAGACACCCCTGCCCCCGCCCCCCCACCAAGAGAGCCTCATAACTCTGGACACATGGGGTCAATCCACTTTGTTGGTGTCTCAGAAATGCTCAGGTCCCTCCTGCCCCTCATCCTCTCATAGGTGATGGGGAACCGGCGGTCAGATGAACCTCCCAAGACCAAAAAAGGACTGAGCAGCATCCTGGATGCTGCCCGCTGGAACCGGGGAGAACCCCAGGGTAAGGTGGTCCTGGCCTCTGCCTTGCCCTGTCCTGTTGTCCCAAGACCACAAGCCCCTCACTGTCCCATTCTCTTGTTTCAGCTCCAGATTTTCGACACCTCAAAGGCGAGGTTGATGGTAAAAGACTTGTAGCCAGAGCATCCACTGGGGGGACTAAAGGAGGAGGGGCTGGGGTCTTAGACTCCTGGGTCTAAGGGAACGGGGGCTGGGAGCCTGGACCACTGGGTCTGAGGGAAAAGGAGGGATCTGTTGGTGATGAGGAAGAGGGGCTGGGTACACAGCATCTTGGACCTCCCAGGTGCCATGAGTCGGATCTGCTGTTCTCTCATTTCCTTCTTTCTCCTGTGCTATCTCCATAGCTGAGAAGCCAGGCCTTACGGACCGGAAGGGAGTCCTGGGTATGCCCTCTCGGGACCGGAATCTTGGGGCTCCTGGGCAGGACAGCCCTGGAGTCTCTCTGCACTCTCTGTCTGGGGATAGCCCAGACCGGGAAGCAGGTGAGAGTATGGGTGGGGGTTCACAGGGCAAGGCAGGAGTGGGCCAGGCCCCTGTGGCACCCCCAAGAAAGAAACCTTTCCCTGCCAGACTTTCCCTTGCTTCTGGGCACCTACTCTTGGCCACTAACATTACTAATAACTTTCCCCTTCCCTTGGGGTACCCTTCCTGTGCTTCCCTCCCAGACCCTGTCCTCTCCTGGTGCCATGTCTCCCCTCAGCCCCCTTGGCCTCAGGTCTCCGAACCCTGTCTGAGCACAAGGCCACTTGCCCTCTGAGCTGCATTTCCGTATCCCCTTGAATGGTGAGCCTGTGGCCCCATCAGCCTCACCTCTCACAACCTTCAGGGCTATGTGGCTCTCAGCCCCTTGGAGCTCAGACAGCTGCTTGGCCAGGCCTGGGTTCAGATCCTGGCTCTTCTGTTTCCTTGTATCATATCTTAGAAATTGCTCCCTTTTCTGAGTCTAAATTTCCTTATTGCTAAATGGGTTGTATCTAAAAGGCCCAGCTGAGGGGTCAAGGATGTGGCCAGGCATCCAGCCTGGTCCCTGGCCTCAGGATTGCTACTGTCTGGTTGGGTGGGCGGGCTCAGGGGTCACACCAGTGCTATTGCCTCTTCACCTACCTGGCTCCCAGCTACCCACACCCATGTGCTCAGAGGGGTTTTTTTGTTTTGTTATTTTTTGGTTTTGAGTCTCATTTTGTCACCCTCGATACAGTGCCATGGTGCCATAGCTCACAGCAACCTCTGACTCTTGGGCTTAAGTGATTCTCTTGCCTCAGCCTTCCAATTACCTTGGACAACAGGCACCTGCCATATCACCTAGCTATTTTAGAGACAGGGTAGCGCTGTAGCTCAGACTGGTCTCAAACTTGTAAGCTAGAATGATCTGCCCACCTTGGCCTCCCGGAATGCTAGGATTACAGGCGTGAGCCACCGTGCCTGGCCCAGAAGTCTTAATATCTACCCCCCATGGAAGTACAGAGCAGCCACTTGGTGTCTGCCAGGGACGGGGCAGCTACAACTCCCCTCTGTTCAATAGTAGAGGAAACTCAAGCCCTGGGTCTCATCACTGCAGACGAGCCAGCCTTGCTCACCCCCTCCACCCTTGTAGGTGCTGACACCCCCCTGGAGCTGGGGGACCCACCCCTGCAGGGCCCAACCAGCCTGGAGCCTCCAGCACCCCCAGAAAGCATCGAGGAGGGAGCAGAGACAGAGAGGTACCCAGGCCAGCGGAGGCTTACAGCAATGCGGGGCAGGGATGGGGTCTGCTCCCACGCTCCTCTCCTGCTCTTCCTCATCTTCCCACTCCTCTCCCTTCTTTTTCCTTCTCCCCCTTTTCTTTTCTCACCTCCTTCCTTCTTCCTCCCTTTTATCTTTTCTCCCTTCTCCCCCTCCTCTCCCTCCATCCTCCTTTCCTTCCCCTCCTCCTCCTCTCCTGCTGGATTTTCTTCCCCTCTGCTTCTGCCTGCCCTCCATTTCCTTTCCCCTTCTCTTGCCAGCTGAGCTGCTGCCTTGCTCCTGCCTCTCAGTGCCCCACCCTCTGTGCTCCACACCCGCACCCGGGGGGCCCTGTCCCCCTTAGAATTGGGGGACAGGCTCCGCCCCCTGCCTGTCCTTGTGCTGCTGCTTTGGGGACCCTGTGGTGGGTGTGGGGAAGTGGGTCAGTCCATCTGGGTCTACTTCTGACCCTGTGCCCCTCTCTCCCCAGAAGGTGGAAGAGGTGGGTGCCTGGGCCCTGGGCGGCCGGGAGGGCTAGACCCTCCCCCATTTCTCCAGCCCCTTCCCTCCCCCATGGCCAGCCCCTCCCCTTCACCCCCAGTGAGGGCTGGGTGGGGACATCACCCTCCCAGGTGAAGAGCTAAGTATGGAAATCCTTCCCTCTGTCTCCATCCCCCTGCCATGGGGAAGGGAGGGGGTTGGTCTTGTGTTCCACACTGGGTTCCCTTCCCCTTCCCCACCAGGCTTCAGTGTCCCTCCTGGCTACCCCCAGCACCCCTAAAATCACACTACTCCTCTGACTCTGCTCTCTTCTGTTGCATGTGATCCCTGTCCTGGTCTCCCCATCTCTGTCTTGGACTTTGCCCATCCCTGTCCCTTCCTCACCTATCCTGATCTCTCCCCATCTCTGTCCTTGTCCTGGTCTCTCCCTGTCTCTGTCCCTCTCCTGGTTTCACCTTTCTCTGTCATTGTCCTGGTCTCTCCCTGTCTTGGTCCCATCTTGGTCTCCCCTGTCTTGGTCCCTGTCCTGGTCTCTCCTGGTCTCTGTACCTGTCCTGATCTCCCCTGTCTCTGTCCCTGTCCTGGTCTCCCCTGTCTCTGTCCCTGTCCTGGTCTTCCCTGTCTCTGTCTCTGTCCTGGTCTCTCCTCATCTCTGTCCTTGTCTTGGTCTCTCCTTATCTCGGTTCCGGCCACTGCCTGATTCTGTCCTTGGCCTCGGGGTCCAGGCTATCAGGGCGTCTGGGGCGCTCAGAGAGCCTGCGGGTGAGTGACCGCCGCCGGCCTTCCCGGGGCAGCCTCGGGGCTAAGGGCCGGGGTGGGGGCCGCTCCAGAAGCGACGTGGACATGGACCCCAGCTCTGCCACGGCTGTGCTTGGCCCTGCCCGACGAGCCACGTAGGTCACTCCCCCCTCCACCACCATCCACTGAGGAAGCCTGGAGAGTCAGGGAGGGGGGTTGTTGCCAGAGTCACAGAGAAATGGGCATCAGACATGGAGGTCACTGAGAGCCACCTGCGGTCACTGGCCTTAGAGAAGGAGTGGGTGGAACACTTCTAGAGATTTGGGGATGGTCCACAGCACAGGCCACCCTGGGAGCATCAAATGTTGACGCCATGCAAAGGGGCTGAACACTAAGGAATCAAAGGTTCCCTAAGGTGGGGCCTTAACAAGACCTCTGTCCACAGCCCTGAGCCTGGAGATGAGGCCGAGCCGGGGCGGTCAGGACTAGAGCTGGAACCAGAAGAGCCTCCGGGCTGGCGGGAGCTTGTACCCCCAGACACCCTGCATAGTCTCCCCAAGAGCCAGGTGAAGCGGCAGGAGGTCATCAGCGGTGAGTGTCACCCTGCCTGCCCTGTGTTGCCAAGGACACAGTTCAGCTCTAGCAAAGGCAGAGGCCAATGAATACAGAGAGATGTTCACCTTGGTGGTATTTACCATGAGAAAGACTTGAAGGCAGTTCCAACCTATTCCAAGGTCAAATTGTTTCAGCCGAGAATAATTGGTTACATAAATTATAGGATGGCTGCTAGATGGGATATGAATGCAGCTGTCAATGTGACATGTCCAAGAACTTTTAGCAGTTCAGGACAATGCTGGTGTGAAGAGCCAGAAACAGTACATAAAATTGTATTTCTGGTGTAAGCCTTTGTTTCCTTATTTGTGAACCGTGGGTACTATTAGTTCCCACCTCCAGACATTGTCATGAAGATGACGTGATTTGAGTGCAGTTTGGTGAGCACAGAAGCTCCATTAATGGGGTTGTTCTCAGTATGAGAACTATCTCTCAGTATGGAGAGATAGTAGGTGTGTCATTTTAATCTTGATTTTTTTTTTCTGTGCTTTGTAATTGTACATAAGGGGAGAGCAGTGGCAGAATTAGAATACTTTCAGAAGCTTGTTTGAACTTTTATTCACAGGTCACTTAATAGAACATAACTCATTTAGAGTTACTTTTAGAAAGGTACTCATTGGGAATTGTTAGGGCAGTAGGTGAACACTTTTTTGGGTCACAAATCCCTCCAAGGATATGATAAAAATATGAGTAGTGCTATTCTATAGAACTTTCTGGAATGATGGAAATGTACTTTATCTGCCTGGTAACCACCAGCCACACATGGATGTTGAGCACTTGACATTCAGTGAATACAACTGAGGACTAAATTTTAAATTTTCATTTTATTTTAATTAATTAAAATGTAAAGAGCTGTACGTGGCTGGTGGCTACCACATTGGACAGCATAGCAATTTTTCTCTCCCGAAAAATATGCATAACACACAAAATTATGCATTTAGTCTCAGGGGATTTCTGGGCCCCTGGAACTCATGCGTGTACCCTCTCTGGATCTGAGGCTGTCAGCCTATGCAGAGAGAGAATCACTGCACCAGAACGGAGGCTGAGAAAATGGCTGGACAGTTAGTTAGACATCGAAAACAGCTGCAAGCTTGCTGGCAGGGTGACGGGGGGCTGCTCCACCAACTCATCCTGGTTTGCCCAGGACTTTCCCAGTTTTTTTTTTTTTTTTCTTGAGACAGAATCTTACTCTGTCACTCTGGGTAGAGTGCCATTGCGTCTTAGCTCACAGCAACCTCATACTCTTGGGCTCAAGCAATCCTCTTGCCAAAGCCTCCTGAGTAGCTGGGACTATTGGTGCTGTCCACAATGCCCAGCTAATTTTTCTGTTTTTAATAGAGACAAGGTCTCACTCTTGCTTAGGCTGATCTCTGAGCTCCAGCAATCCACCCCAACTAGGATTACAGGCATGAACCACTGCACCTGGCTGACTTTCCCAGTTTTATCACTAAATGTCCTATGATAGATAAACTAGGACCATGGGTCTCCTGGCTGGCTGCCATGGCAAAAAGAGAAAGGCAGTGTCTCGAGGAGCTCTCAGTGGCTGCTTAAGGGAGCAAATGACTCTACCTAGAGAGAGCCCCCCACCCCCCACCAACATCTGGGAAGTATTCCCTCCTGCTCATTCCCCCAAACTGCCCCCATAGTCTGCACTATCCTTCATATGCTTCCTGCTTTGGTGGCTCTGCAGAGCTGCTGGTGACTGAGGCGGCCCACGTGCGCATGCTGCGGGTGCTCCATGACCTCTTCTACCAGCCCATGGCGGATGGGGGCTTCTTCTCCCTGGAGGAGCTACAGAACATCTTTCCCAGCCTGGATGAGCTCATCGAAGTGCATTGTGAGTGCAGGGCTGAAGACCCTCTGCTCACCCCACCTCTGTCTTCCTCATTTGCAGCCTCTGCAGTAACCCTGCAGCCAGCATGCTCTCTTTGAGCACCTGTAGGGGCAGCCTCTGTTCCCACACTGGAGACAACCCACCATGACCCCCAGCACTCACACTTGGCAGAGACAGACATGTCATCTAAGCACATGGGGGTGGGGGACAGGCTCACCAGCCTCAAGGATCAGACACAGATGTACCTGCAACCTGGCCCCCATCACTCTCAACCACATCTCACACACCACCTTCCGGGGCCTAACAGAGTACCTACCCCCTTTCCTCACTGCCCCTCACAGCTTTGTTCCTTGATCGCCTGATGAAGCGGAGACAGGACAGTGGCTACCTCATTGAAGAGATTGGAGATGTGCTGCTGGCCCGGGTGAGGGTGCCCAGCCACCCCCTTCTCCTTGCCCGGGGCCCCCAGGGTCCAGGTCCTAAGTTCTCCCTGCTTGAGTACCAGGGCTGGGACCCCAAGTCTGTCCTTTGGCGCTAGGCTTCCATTCCCATGTGGGGCTCTATTCTTGCCCATCCCTCCTGAGACACCTCCCTGGCCTGAATCTCTCTGTAGTTTGATGGTGCTGAGGGTTCCTGGTTCCAGAAAATCTCCTCTCGCTTCTGCAGCCGCCAGTCATTTGCCTTAGAGCAGCTCAAAGCCAAACAGCGCAAGGAACCTCGATTCTGTGCCTTTGTACAGGTGAGGTGAGGGTCGTGGATCCCCGGAAGAAGGGGCCTGGGGACGTAGACTCCTAGGAGAGGGCTGGGCCAGCCCTGGGGTGAGCCTGAGGCCTGGGTCATTTCAGCTCTGTTTCCCCCTCAGGAGGCGGAGAGCCGACCACGGTGTCGCCGCCTACAGCTAAAGGACATGATCCCCACAGAGATGCAGCGCCTCACCAAGTACCCCCTGCTCCTGCAGAGCATCGGGCACAACACAGGTACTGCCTGCCCAGCCAGCTCCTCTGGGCCTCAGCTCTCCTCTCACTCACCTTGGGCGCCACACCAGGAGCCTCCAAGGTGAGGGCTCACTGGAGCTGGTCTCTCCTTGGCCCGCAGAAGAGCCCACAGAACGAGAAAAAGTGGAGCGAGCTGCTGAGTGCTGCCGTGAAATCCTGCACCACGTCAACCAAGCTGTGCGTGACATGGAGGACCTGCTGGTGAGCCTCAGCGTAGCTGGAGCGGGGCTGGGGGTAGTGTGTGGGCAGGAAGCAGCCCTACCTCTGCTTGCCCAGAGGTCAGGCCTGACTCCTGGCTTGTCCGCTCAGAGTCTGTGTGTCCAGGGCTTGGCCTGGCCCTCAGCAACTTCCTCTCAGGGGTCATTGTGGGTCAGTCGCAACACCGAGGGCTTGTCCCTCTAACACTGGTGTCTCTGCCCCCAGCGTCTCAAGGATTATCAGCGGCGTCTGGATTTGTCCCACCTTCGGCAAAGCAGTGACCCCATGCTGAGCGAGTTCAAGGTGCACCCTGACTGCCTTCCCCTCCCTCCCCACTCCTACCTTGGCCCTGCTCCTCTGGGGATTCTTTGCAAGAGTCCCCAGCCCACCCTGCCCTCCATCAGGGCCCCTGTGATTCCTCCCCCATGATCATCCCCACACTTCCCACCTCTCGCCTGTGTGGTCCATCACTGTCTCCTGTACCCAGAATCTGGACATCACTAAGAAGAAGTTGGTCCATGAGGGCCCACTGACATGGCGGGTGACAAAGGACAAGGCTGTGGGTGAGTGCAAGGCTGGTAGCAGCAGGCGGGAAGTGGGGGGATGGCAGGGAGCCAAGCCTCACGGAGGGCAGTGTGTGCCTCAGCTCCCACCCCCACCCCACCCCGTGCAGAGGTCCACGTGCTGTTGCTGGACGACCTGCTGCTGCTGCTCCAGCGCCAAGATGAGCGGTTGCTGCTCAAGTCACACAGCCGGACGCTCACACCCACGCCGGATGGCAAGACCATGCTGCGGCCTGTGCTGCGGCTCACCTCTGCCATGACCCGCGAGGTGGCCACCGGTGAGCACGGCAGTTAGGCTTGTCTAAGCAGAGCTGCCCCATGAGCAGGAAGTAGAACCTTCTAGAGAACAGGGAACAGGCATTCTGAGGAAGGGGATGCTGTGAACGGGGTGGCCTTATGGCTGAGGTAGTGTGGGCAGCGCCGAGTTAAGCGGGTTTCCTGAGTGAGTGGGAACCTGTCCCAGGGGTTTCTACAGAGGCTGGTGCTCTGATACTGCTTGGGAAGGGTAGGGAGCCCAGAGAGGAGGGATTGAGATTTGCAAACATGCTGCCTAGAAGGGACCTGCCTAGGAGGTCCACCAGGGCCACAGATGCTGGGAGTGGCTTTGTGGTGGGAGTGGCTAGAGGTTTTGTTGCCTGATTCCATGGGGTGGGGGGTGAAAGGGAGGGCTGAGGAGGGAGCCCTGGATGCTTATTAGCAGGACATTGAGGGGTGAATTGAGTCATGAGAGCCCTGATGGTGCCACCTCCAGGGTTGGGGGGCTTCCCCAGCCTCCAGCTTCTGCTCTGGAAGGGGTCCACATTGGCAGGGCCCTCGCTCTGAGCCCCATCTCCTCTCCCCACCCTCTCCCACCTCCTGCAGATCACAAGGCTTTCTACGTCATTTTTACCTGGGACCAGGAGGCCCAGATTTATGAGCTGGTGGCACAGACTGTGTCGGAGCGGAAGAAGTGAGGAGGGATTCGGTTCTGAGCATGGGTGGGGAGGCCCAGGCCTCTGAGCTCCCAGAGACAGTGAGGGGCTGTGGGGGCCCTGGCAAAGGACCTGGGGTACTAACTGCCCAGGGGCTTGGCCTATCTCCCCAGCTGGTGTGCCCTCATCACTGAGACCGCCGGATCCCTAAAGGTTCCTGCCCCTGCCTCCCGCCCTAAGCCCCGGCCCAGCCCTAGCAGGTGAGGGGGGCCAGGGAGGGAGCTAGAGTTTCAGTAGGTTAGGAGGCAGAGCTGGCTGTCCTGTGTATCCCTAGAACCCAAGCCCGAACTCTCAAGGTGTGTATGTGTATGTATGTGTGTGTACGTGTGCCAACCTCGCCATGGCCCTTTCTGTCTCCTATCTCCGGGCCTCTCTGTCCTTCATTGTCTGGGCCTCTCTGTCTCCTGGCCTCGAGCCCAGACCTCCCCATGTCCCCACCTCCAGCTCTCTGTCTCCCTGTCCCTGTTGCTCCCTGGGGCCAGGGATGTGGGGTCACCTAGCACTTGTTCTTCTCAGCACCCGAGAACCCCTCCTCAGCAGCTCTGAGAACGGCAATGGTGGCCGAGAGATGCCTCCAGCTGATGGTGAGGCCAGCGGGCAGTGGGGGAGGGACTGGCTGGGGATGTCCCGGGTAATGAGAGGTGTCTTTCAGAAGCCAAGCAGGATCTGAGCACCCTCCCTGTTCCCCCACCCAGCCCGGACAGAGAGAATCCTCAATGACCTCCTGCCCTTCTGCAGACCAGGCCCTGAGGGCCAGCTTGCTGCCACAGCCCTTCGGAAAGGTAGCCACCAGTTCTGCCCCCTCCTGGGCAGCCACTAGCCCAAACTGCCTCTGTTCCAACTGGAGCAAGCCTCTGCCTTTCAAATTTCCGTATGCCCAGCTGTCAGAAAACAAGTGCACCTTGCCCACCCAGCCTGCACCACCGTCTCCAGTGGCCTCATGTCTTTTCTTCCTTGACCCTAAATTCATCCTCTTCCTGGACACATCTCCATCCTTATGGCCTTCCTGCCCCTGTCCTAACCCTAACCCCATCTCTGTACCCCTTTTTAATCTCCCAACCCCATTTGCTCAGCTTTGCTTGGTGCCCACCCTCCATCCCTTGGGCCTCACCACCTGGCCTGTCCCCTTTGGAATTGCCCTTCTGAACCTCAGCCCAAACCTCTGTCCCCCCTGACTCCACCCCTTTGTCTGGGCCAGTGCTGTCCCTGAAGCAGCTCCTGTTGCCTGCGGAGGAAGACAGTGGGGCAGGGCCTCCCCGAGACAGGGATGGGGTCCCAGGGGGTGGCCCCCTGAGCCCAGCGCAGACCCAGGAGATCCAGGAGAACCTGCTCAGCCTGGAGGAGATCATAAAGCAGCTGGAGGTAGGATGGGGCACGGGGGACCCTGAGCGGGCTGGGGAAGGAGGGGACCCCCCTTACTAGTAACCCCCCCAGGAGTTGGAGGAGGAATTCTGCCGCCTGCGACCCCTCCTGTCTCAGCTCGGGGGGAACCCTGTCCCCAATCCTGGCTGCACCTGAGGCCCCTGTCCAGGCAGGTGAGTGGGGGACCTAGGGGTGGGTGCTGCCCTGAAAGAAGGGGCCAGAGAGGGCACTGCAGGTGCTCCTGTCCCCTCCAGCCCCACTGTCTCTCCCTCTGTCTTTGTCTTTTCTAAATCTCCCTGTTCTACCTCCTCTCACTTCTGCCCACCTTCCTTTCTCTCTCCTTGCTCCCTGTTTCCCCCTCTCCATCTCTCCCTGTCTCCCTTCTCCTACATGCTCTAGGCCTTTTGCAAGGAGAGGAATGGGGAGAGGACGTGTAGGGGGCCACCCCCCCCCACCCACACAGCTGCTGAAGCATCTCATACCCCGAGGGCCTGAAGAGAGGGAGCTGTTGCTTAGGTCATGCCTGGGAGAGGCCCAGCTGGGGTCACTGTGTCCCCATTGGCCTCAGTCTTCTCTCCCTCCTGCTTCTGCTTGGGGGAGGACTCAGGGCTTCATTCCGGGGTGGGCACCACAGTGACCCCCAGGTCCCGGGCTATCTCAGTATTGTTTGTGGGGGCCACCCCTCTACCCCCCACCCCTAAGTGCCTTTGCTCTGTTTTTATACCCTGAATTGGAGGTTTATTTTTTAATATATATTATCTAAAGAGAAGTCTGTGTTTGTGAGGGTAAGGTGGGCCCTGGTGTGGTTCTGGAACCCTCCGTGACTGGCGTCAACATCCCAGTCTACCCGGCTCGTTGCCTTTGTGCCTCTTGCCTTTGTCCGGTTTCTCATTCATTCATTCCTTAAACAGTTACTCCCCAGGTACCCCCACACCCTCCCTCCCAGCTCCTACCCTCAAAGCCCCATGGTTGACACTGGGTGCCCCTTGTCTCACTCTGTTCTTTTATTTTTGTAGTAAACTCTGAAAGTAGCTGTGGGGTTCATGGGGAACTGTTGGGGGGGCCCTCCTGGGCAGAGGCCGGGGGCGGGGTTATTGCTCTGAGCTCCCTGTCCCCAGGGGGGCCTGTATGGGAGGGTGTCAGGACTAGGGCTGGCACAGGGGGTCGCAGACACAGCCGCACAAACACACAGGTCACAGCACAGGGGTGGGTGCGGGGAGGCTGGGCATCATATTGCACTTAGGGAGTGGGGCCAGGCAGGGACCCCCTTAAACTGCAGCCTGGGGAGGAGGCTGGAGGCCATCATGTTCTTTCCCCTTGCTGTGGAGGAGGAGGAGAGACCTCTACTTTAGGGCTGGGGAATAGGAGCCTGGGGCAGTGACTTGCGGGCCCTGGAATGGTGCCAAGGGTAGTCATGGGCCTTGGACAGTGCATTGAGGGCAGACAGGCAGCTGCCCTGGGCCCCACCTCCACAGAATCCATCACCCCATGCCTGCTCAGCTGCCAGTCCCCCCTTTGCCCACCTTGGCCTTGGGGGGCACAGGGAGACCCTCATCACCCTCACTGTCAGAGCTGCAGTCGCTGACATCGGTGATCTCCAGCTCTGAGTCGCTGTCCTCCTTCCCACCCAGTGCAGCCTCAGGACCCCCAGCCCCAGGCAGCGCTAAGCGGGGGGCCGCTGCCAGGCCTGAGGGACGCTCAGGGCCCAGGCCTTCCCCTGCTGTAGCCAGCAGAGGTGTAGCTGTGGGGCCTCCCCCTGCCCCTACTGAGGGCAGGTGGCCCAGGGAGTTGGCCAGAGGGTTGGGGTAGAAGTGTGGGGGGTAGAGAGAGGGAGGGAGCTTGGGGAAGGGGCCTGTGAGGTATGGGTTAAAGTTCCAGGGGTACTCAGGAAAGGTGCGGCCATAAGGACCCAGCAGGCCAGGGGGCTTGGTGTAGCCGGTGGCACCTGGTGGGGCACAGGGGCAGGTCAGGCTGGGCCGTTCCAGCAGCTAGTAAGTAGCTACCTCCTGCCACATCCCACCCCTTCCTCCCCACTGTCCCCTCCCACTGGCATCTTACCACCTTCATGTGTCTCCCTCAGCCCCATCTTCCCCACCCCATCTCCCTATTCCTTTAGCATCCCTGAACACCCTTTTCCCAGCTTACCCCCCTATCCTCCTCTGGCTCTTTTTTTTTTTTTAAGCAGAGTCTCACTTTGTTGCCCTTGGTAGAGTGCCATGGAGTCATAGCTCACAGCAACAACCAGCTCTTGAGCTTAAGTGATTCTCTTGCCTCAGCCTCCCAATTAGCTGGGTCTATAGGCACCCACAACAACGCCCACCTATTTTTTTCGCTGTTGTTGCTGTTGTTTAGCTAGCCTGGGCCAGGTTCAAACCCGCTGCCCTTGGTGTATGTGGCCGATGCCATAACCACTGTGCTATGGGCGCCAAGTCCATTCTCTGGCTTTAAACAGATATGCAGGCACACCAGCCTCACCCTCAGGTCCCCTCCATCCTGTCCTCCAGTCTTTCATCCTTCTCCCTCAGACACAAGCAGCATCCCCCCTGCTCAGCACCCCTGAGCCCCCCAGGCTCTTCTTACCAGAGCCCAGGAATGGGAAAGGGCTATCCAGACGCAGTTTGTCCGTCTCAGGGGAAAACAGGGGTGTCCGGGCCCCTGGCTCTCCCAGGCGTGGGGCAGAGAACAGGGTCTGCAGGGTCTGGAGAGGGAGGTGGGAAGGCTCAGATTGACTGCCCCTTGCAAGGTTCATGGCTTGGGAGATACCCCAATCACCCCAGTTCCAGAATCCCAGACTCAAACTCACCTCAGGGGTGAGGGGAGGAGCATCTGGCCCAGGGCTCCCTCCAAAAGGACTAGGGGTCAGCAAGAGTGGGGAGCCAGTGGCAGCTGCTGCCACATCCAGTAGGGGGTAATTGACGAGCACAACTTTGCTGAAGTTGAACTTGTAAGTGAACCTCTTCCCTTTGGTCTTGTGAAGAATCCTCTTGTTGTAGTAGTAACTATGGGGAGAGGGGTACCGTGCTGGGGTCACCTAAGGAGGTAAAGAAGGGGCCTGGGGCAGGGTCTTGGGCTTTATAACTCGTGCTCTGTACCTGGCACAGTGCCCAGGGCACAGCAATTTGGGGAAACTGAGGTTCACAGAAGTCCCTTAACCAAGGTCACAGGGCAAGGAAAGGGTAAGGCAGGAACTGGGATCCCCCAGTATGTGACTCCAAAGCCTGGGGTTCAGGTCCTTCTTGCCTCCCTTCTGCTCACAAGTAATCACTATCTACGCATGCAGAGCCCTGCACATTGGGATCCAACTGGACTGTGTCTCAGGATGTGGAGGGAAAGCCCCAGGGGGGCAGGCACCATGGGGACAGTGAGGACCAGAGGAGGCAAACTGGGAGTCCGGGCCCCCAGCCCTCCTTACCGCAGGGCCCGGCTCAGCTTGTCGTAGTTCATGTGGGGCTTGCACTTGCGGATGCCCCAGAGCCGGGCCACCTCATCAGGGTCCTTGATGACGAATTCCCCGTAGTCCCCCTGCCAGGCAATGACACCCTGGTACTCCTCCTTCTGCAGCAGCTCGAGGATAAAGTGCCACAGCTGGATCTGCCTCGAGCCAGGGGACGACTCTGGTTTGTAGGCCCAGTCTGGGAAGGCAAACCCTGGGGACAGGAGGCAGGGAGTGGCCCCAGATCAGGATGACAAGTGCTGGACTCTGGGTCCTCCTTGACTTAGGAACCCAGAGGCATCCAGCCCGCCCTGACTCTGGATCTGAGGAGTAGCTACACAGCCTCGGGCATCTTCAGGGATCTGGTGTCCACTATCCAAACCTCCCCTGGTGTCTAGTCCCCAAATTGCCCAAATTGTGGGAGAGAACCCAGTCCTGCAGGGACCCTGGGTTAGCACTTTGAGCCTGATCCCCTCCCTTGGCTCAGTTCTCCCAAGCACAGCGTTGGTGGTGGCAGTCGAGTGGGACCAGTTTCCTGTCCCAGGTCCTCCACTTCCCTAGGTGTTCCCCCGCACCCTTGTGGTGGGGAGGAGCCATGACGGGAGGGTACCCACCTGCAGCATTGGCCCTTCTCCCCCTCCACCGCCCCATCCTGCCCCAGAGCCTCTATCTCTTCTGAACCTAGAACCACCACCCTCCAGCTCTTGCCTCCATCCCCAAAGCCCACCACAGACCTCACCCTGGCACATCCAGGCAGGATCTGTGTGCACATCTGTGTCTGCACCTACCCATGTATTTGTGCCTTTCATGACCCTCCCTGTATCAGTGATTATGTCCATCTAAGAGCCATCCAGATGGGGGGTGTGTGTGCACACGCTAACGGATGCCCACAGAAGACAACGTGTCACAGAGATATCTACTCACCTGCCAGAGACACTCAGCCACACCACAGAGCACAGACACATGCTGCCCAAGACATGCGGTCATATTACCTCAACATGCATTGCACACCCGTTACAACACACACAATTATGCATCTTCTTGGGCCCCTCCAAACCAAGACCCTCCATCTGACAAGAAACATGTGCAGGACCCCAAAGACCCAGGTCACATAGCATGCTGGAGACAGCAAATGTATCACCAACACGTTCCTACCCTCAGATAAACAGCCTGACAACTACACACAGGGTGTCACCATGTTAACAGAGCATCTTCCCAACCCACATGCAGGTACACATGTGTCAATACTCTGATACTCTGTAGCACACTTCTCACTCAGAGCACCCTGTCTCCTGCTGTCTACAAACACACAGAAGCTGGGTGCAAGGGAGCATCTTGCCCCAGCCCTTAATCTCCCCTCCCATCCAGAAAGCCCCAGCCCTGAGTCCAGCTACTGTGCTCACTCCCATGCCGCATCCTCTGTCCCCTACCTTCCTCAGAGCCCCCAGACTGAGGCATGAAAACGGAAGGCAGAATTAGTCTCTAAAAAGCCAGTGAGCAGTGCGGGAAAGGGGAGGCTGCAGGTTGGAACAGGGGACCACACTAGGGTGGAAGACCAGGGTCCCAGTATCCACTCGCTGTGTGGTCACAAGGCAGGTCCTCACCCTCACTGCCTTAGAATTTCAGAGGCAAGAAGAAAGAACAGCAGCGCCTTGCCTTGTGTCTGGGTGCGCATAAAAGTGGGAACCTCCCTGCCTGAATGCTGGGCAATGCCAGGCAGTTTCCTCCTTAAGGGAGAATTTTTATCTCATTTCTTTTGGGGGGGTCTTCCTTAGATGCCAGGGCTCAAGGAAGACCAAGCTGTGGCCTATCCTACACCTAGAACGCTTCCTTCTGGGAAAGAGACTATCACAGGCACACATACGCAACCCTAAGAAAACAATGCAAAACCCACCAGGAAACACCACTTGTCCGGGAATACACGTCCTTAAATATGTGGCACCTACTGAGACAAACACACAGTGAGCGAGGACCCAGCCTAGCAGGCAGACACACATTGTGACAGTCTGGTGCCCAATACTCACACACTGACCGTGGGCTGAAAACCAGACAGAGAGGTTCAGGGATGTATCCCCCGACAGCCCCAAATACACCCAAGACATTCACTTGGAATGCACCATACCACACAACAGATCTGCAAGAAACAGGCAAAGCTTCTTCACTCCACCCGGGCAGGAGCATACTTGGGGAGATCACAGATCCCCCCTCCATGGTAAAATACGGACATGCCCAGCCCAGAGACACTCAGGTAGCCTCAGACGTGCATGGACAGTCACACCAACTCACACAAAGGCACTGCAGACACACACTCCCAGTATGACCCCTTTGAGAAACACT